AGGTGGCCAGAGGAAGCTCCCTAACCTATTCTCTCTCAGTACACCAGTCCCCATCGGATGCGACTTGGCTACCATCGCCGGGAAGGACTCCCGTCGACAGTTCTCCACTCTCGTGCCCGTCACAATTGGGATCTTAATCAGACTGGCATCTAAATGCTACTCAAATTGAATAATGAATGCAAAGTGGTCGGCATTAGGAGGGAGGGCTGTTGCTAATGGGCGTGGACAGCTAGCCGTCCGCCTCCCCCACATGAATTTCGCTGCTCAATGAAATGCATTAAATCAAGGCATCGTTGAAAGGGCCCAGCAGGTGAGCGATGCCCCCGAAAGTAGTCATCGGAATGGAAATTGTGGGAAGGTGGATTGGTGGATGTGGGGTGGACTGGGATTGGGGTTTCGCCTGCTTACCCGTAAACATCAATTACGCCGCCCAAACTATTCACGCGATTAGCCGCGTTCTCTAGTTATTGGATAATAGCGGCAGTCCGGGTGTTTTCGGATCCAAGTGGGACTTATACTGAATTGAATTAACGGCCACGGGCCACGTTGTCTGGGCCGGACTGTGGTGCTGTAAATTTCCAGCAGGGCATCTGATAAGCCCGACGTCGAGGCCTTAACGAATTGGTAGCACGGGGGCAGGGCCTGAAGGTGGGGAGAGTCCGGAGCAGGACACCTACACATGCCCAGGAGTTGCGCCATTTACAGGCTCAGACGTAGAGTTATTTCGACGAAACAAGAAATGTAAAACAGACAGAAGCCGACGGAAGGACTCGGCTATCCACAGAGGGAAAACTCTGAACCGAAAGTGAGTACGTTCATTTAATACATGTATTTTTTGGTAATTTAATGTTTCCCCAAAGATGTGGGATCCTTTATGGGGAAAAGACATACAGAAATTTAATATGGCCTCTCGTTGGAAGGCTTTTCGAAGGACATTGGCTATTAAAGAATAATTTAAATATTTATTTGATAATAAAGCTTTAAGCTTATTAATAATAGAGTAGATTAAAAGTCTTTATTCCCATTAAGCATATTTAATAAAATTATAAATTAAACTATTAATTGGTTTACAGAGCTTAATCCTAGTTTATAATTAATAGTGGTTAATATTAAATTAGCATAAAGCGTTTGATAGAAAATTAAAGCTATTATCTTTCATAGTTGCGTGACGAAAATGTTATTACGTTTCTAAAATTCCTTTTTTATTGCCTTGAATAAATTAAAGTTTCTTATCCTGTCCAGTGTCGTGTTGGAAATTTTAATTTGCTAATTTATCTGGCTTTTATCAGATCAAGGTTTTTCTCACATTTTCCAATTTTCTTTTAGATATCTTTTGGCCGTCGCTTGGCCTAGTTTCCTAGTTTTCCTCCAGTTTAAAAATCATTTTTTTATTTATTTAAAAGTCTGTCTTGTCGGCATCCACCCATCAATCCCATCATTGAATCGGGAAAAATTCAATTTTAAAATGTCTAGCTCCTGGGTAGGAAGTACTTTATTTTTTGGGCTGTGTGATAGGGGAGTTTATTGCTGTGTTCGCCGTTTTCCAGTGCCGCCTTGGTCTGGTCTTAAAAGCGAAAAGCCATTTGTATTCATTTGAAATTAATTTAGCATTCATTCAAGGCAACGGAAGCCGACTCTGTCGGACCTCCCATCTCTCCCATCGGCTCCCCCCACCCGGCAAGGCACCCCATTAGCTTCGCCCCCCCTGGGGGGAAAGGCTCATTCGCAGGATCGGGCAATAAATGGCGTCGGCGAGCTAAGCAATGGATAAATACGTGTACGTGGCATACATTTCGGAGGCGACGACGTCTGGGGGTCGTGCCCACTTTCGTTTATCGATAAGCAGTTGAAGACATATCCCCTTCAGACACCCGCGCCTCTGGAGTTGGCAATTGAAACTACCACAATGCCGAGGCACAAGAATGGCTTCGGTTGGGCCTTCTCCACTAATTTTAACAAATTAATTGGCAACAATAAATTCGCTTGCGAAAAGGTGAGCCGATAGCATCTCAGCGGGTATTGGCCATGGTACGTGGAGTTTCTGAGTGTGGGGAGTGTGGGATTGTGGGAGTTGGGTGGATAGATTGCTCTACTAATTTGATTTCTTGAATGGGCCGGCAAGCGTTAAGTATCTTCAAGGAGTCGATATATTCCTGCTACCCAGTGTACCTCAGGGAATGTCTACTACACTTTGTATTTAATATTTTAATTAAAAATACAACTATATTAGATATCTTATTTATAATTAAAATGTCAAAAATCAATCAGACCCATTTTCAATCAAATGGAGAACAAATTGGTTATTAGATTTACAAAATTATTCTCTTCCATTGAGAGCTATAATCCATTTAGTATCGATTTTTACTAATTACAATGACCAGAACTAACAATCCATTTTGGAAAAGTTGAATAATGCATCCCATATTAATAGCTGGCATGTCCATGGAAAATAATCTGTTTGGCCAGAAGTACATAAACTGATAACTTAATTATGAAATTTTGCAAACTGCTTAGGTGGGTGGAATGTGGTCTCCCCCCATCTATCCACATCGATGCACCAATTTCGATGTATTCCCATTTCAATTGTTCGGTAATGGAATTCTATAATCAAATGTCAACTCACCTGCACACATCCTGCACATGGAACGGCAATTGCACCTGAACGCAAAACAAGTTTAATCATTGGTAATGGTCGCCAGGCGGCGTGCCAATTACAGGGCCATTGTCTGTCAATTCAAAGTTCCAGCCCGCTGCCTGTGGCCATCTCTTTCGGTCTGGCTGTCGCTGTCTCTTTCTTTGAGCCTCATGCTCATTTGCATTGCGATGAGAAGGTCTACAGGGCATTCTCCAGTCAAGCACACTCGACTTTATCGGCCTCGGACCGGGGCTGGCATTTTATTTATGAGCTCGTACGGCGTGCGTTGAAAGGGGGGCGTGCCAGAGGGGGCTCTGAAGGGTGTCCGTTTGAGGGGGCTGTGTGGGTGGAAGGATACGCTTTCGACAGCCACATTTGCGGGCCATAACACGCAACATTTGACATGGTCGCAACGGCCACACCAACAACAGTAACAACAAAAAGCATTCAGTGAGGCAGTCTGCGAGGCACAGGTGTGCTGGTTGCAAGTCCCCTCGCCACCATGCCCCTCTCCCAGCCCTTTGGCAAGCTCACAAATCTCTCTCGAGTGCGACGCATGTACATAAACTGAAATTGGCCTATAACTGTCTGTTCAATTGTTTCGGCAGGGGGGCTGCCCCCCGAAAGGGGGTGGGTGCTACCCAAAAAAGGGGACTCCTATAGTACCTATATATTGCGGTAAAAATCACATTTCCATGGCCCGGTGTAAATCATTCATAGGGGAGAAAGGGGGCGGTGGGCTGGCTGGCCATACAAGAATGTGCGATTGTGAATGTGAGCCGTGAGCCTGCCCCGAAATGTAGACTATATTAATATGCCAAAACGAAGGCGTCTCTACTACGAATATTCATTTGTACGTGACTATGGAGCATATTAGGTTCGTCTCGCCACGATTTCCATTCGTTTTTGTATTCGGGTTTTGATTCAGTTTCAGTTTCGTGTGCGAATTCCGATTCCGATTCGGTTTCTGATTCCGATTCAGATTCCTCGGAATCGGCTGTCTCCGCGTTGAGGCAGGTTGTGCTAATAACCCAGATAGTGGAGCGAGAGAGACGGCAAGCCGGAGGGTGAGAGAGAAGGCGAGAGTGTGGGAGAGAGCGTAAGACGATCCGACTTGCGGTTAGCTGAGAGACTAAAGTCAAAACCCTTGCTTTAAAAATAAAATTGGTCATTAGGAATGCAAAGAAAGAGGCAACAAATGGAAGCCAAATTAATATTTGATATGCTCTGGCTTTCACGAAAGCTACTCTACCGCTCTCCCGCTCCTGCCGCTCGCTTTCTCTGTTACTACCATATATCTCTCATGAGAGAGAACTTTCACGAGCCTGCGCCTAAGGACATTTTCGGAGTCCTCCGATTCGGAGTCGAAGCTGTAGTCCCTTAGTTTCGGCAAGATAGACACGGAATCAGTTCCAGCCAGCGAGTCCTGCCGCAAGGATGCCCGTTTACGCTGCCCCGCCGCCGGATACAACAGACACTAGAGCAGGGAAAGTGCCACTACACGTCGTGCCATACGCGTCTCGCATTGTGCCACATTTAAAAATGAAAACAGACGAACAGTGAAGTGGTAGTGGAGAAGTGGAAGTGGCAGTGCGGCGAAGTGAAGACGCGCCACAAGCCGTTTAATAACTAAATCCCACGGAGCCATCGTTGGTCACGTTCCGCATCCGAGACAGGATACACAAAATGAGACTGACTGCGCGTGTATTTTCAATTGTGTGTGTGTCCCAGTGAACTGTGTGTGTGTGTGTGTGTGTGTGTGCATACCTATAGGGCTGCCTCTGGCTGCCACCTAATGTGGCAACAGCCCGACACACACATCGGCGAATATAATAACACAAAGCCCTCGTTCTCGTCGTCTGTGGCCCTGCTGTCATCGTGTGCGTGACGTGTCCGTGTGTCCGCATCCCATACTGTGTCCGTGTCCGTGTCCGCCGAGCGGAAATATTTTCGAAATCCGCGTTATTAACCCGCGTGAACAGAGAAGCATACAAAAGCCAAACCGAAACCAAAATAAACCTAGGAACGGCTTGCACAAAGGAAGCCAAGCCCGAGACATTGTCAACTGGATTGATTGGTGGATTGCGGAATTGTGTGCGGCCTTCAGCCATTGTCGAATGTGTCCTGGCGGACTGACTGCCTGACTGCCTGACTCACTGAAAGGCTGACTGAATTCCATTGAACTGTTGAATGAGCAAGCAATGCGAGCCCAACCGCCTAATTACGGCGCATTGCGCAATCGAATGTCAAAGTCAGACCGTGTAGCCTAAAAAGGCAACCTCAAGGATTTATTCTCGCTAACAAGCCCAGGAGCAAGTAAGCGCAGCGGGTGCTGAGAGCAAGGATATCTGAGCAGTGGGCGAGCAGGAGGACGATGGCAGGAGGCTTGTTTTGTCATTTGGAAGTCATAGCCGAGACCCGTAAGTGAAGGAATTTAATTTAATGCGCCACCAGGGCTAGAGCGTAGAAAAACAAACAATAAATGGGCAAAGGACAGACTGCGGTTCCGACACCATCCCGACCCAGCCACCCACTGACCTCCCCCCAACCTTTGCCTTTGCCATTGTCCCTCCTTTCCGTTTGACAGGTCTGAAAAGTTAGAAAAAGAACAACAGAATAATGTTGTTCGCTAGCCGGATAAAAAAAAACTTTTGTTTGATTTCCATGGAGAGCGCGAAAAAGGGAACGCGGAAAGGACTCTGACCGGAATAGAGGACATGGCCGGGCGATAATTCCGCTGTAATAGCCGCGAAAAAAATGAAGCCCGCCGCCAACCTTGCCTGGCAAGGCAGAGCCTGGCAACCAAGTAGCCGGACGGACGAAAAGGCCAAAAGTGACCAAAACAAATGGGGGTCGGAGGGGTGTTATCGGGGAGTTTTGACCCTTGGAGTCACGCAGCTAATTGGACTGACAACAAATGTATATTTTTGAGTAATGACCGGGATTATGAAAGACCGTTCTAGTCCCTCCAGGACCACCTCCTCGCTCCTTGTTTCTAGCTATCCACGAGCTGACTGATTACTGAGTTGGAGCCATAAATAATGAGAGGGACACCGAAAACAGTGGCTCAACTCTGCCAGCAGACTGACAAATTTTGGCCAAAGGAGTGGCCAAGGACTCGGAGGGCGTCGAGGAGCCGAGAATAGGGAACAAGAAATACAGCAATATCGAGTTTATCCAGATAAAACTATATAGTTGACAAGGTCGTTTAGCCAGGAGCACAGTTTTGCGAAACTTTTTAATTTCATCCTTCACGAAGTTTCTCGACTTTTGCCGAGTTTTTTCCCATCCCTCTCCCAGCTCTCGGTTCTCGGTTCTCGGTTCTTTGTAGTCAACCGTAATTGCCTTGGCCACATTGCTGCGGAATATGCTGGAGAGATCCTGTCAGGACCACCAGCCCTCCCACCGCCCTTTTCCTTTTTTTGTTTCTCCTGCAAATGCACTTTCTGCGGCAAATCCGCAATGCTATTACCGACTCATTCTGTTCGGGGTTGCCTGGCAACCCGAAGTCGAAACTGAAAGTTGGGGCCATATCCGGTATTAACCTCATTAAGTCCTCATTCAGACAATTCCCCGAAAGGTCCTTGTTCAGTTAATTGGAATTGCAGAGCAATGAGACTCATAAATATGCCCGCACAAGTCACAATAAATCAATAAATTACGTTTAATGACGAGAATCTGGATGAGTTCCCAAATGATATTATACATTCCTATATATAAAATATAATTTACTCTTGGCAACTAGAGAATACACTTGGCTAAAATCCACGGGCATATGTTGTTTGGCTGACCCACTTATAAAAACTAATAACATTTTATAATATTGCCAGCCCGCGCACACACATACCATATTAATTCAATTAGAAAGGCGACAAATTCTCTAATTTTCCCGATAAACAGCCTAATTTGCTGCTCATTTCAATTGGCAATTTTATTGAATTATCCAAGTGCCTAATTTGGGGAAAACAATTTCTTTGATGCTGGCACAAGTGCCATGCAAATTATCAAAACTAAACCCATTCTGAAGCATTCGCATTCCGAATCCGATATCTTAACTTAATTTATTGAGGCATTAAATTAATTGCCCTAGAATCTAGGATCTAGAGGACTTTATGTATATATAGGTATTTATGTTCAAGGCCCACGTATCTGGAGATCCATAAATATGATTTAATGCGCTTTATTTTCGAGTTTTAAATGTTTATTGCTTTTATTGAATTCTTTTAACCGTCTTAGAGCAATGAAGCGAATAATATTAAACAATTGCTGTTATGGCCAGGCAATTTCCAAGCTCGGGAGTGAGCCACATCGGCTTGACCCACCCTCCATGAATCCTTGAATTATCCTCTTACTCATATCCCGGATCTGTGGCTTCCATCATTTGCCGGGCAAATTACTTCCCTTCTCCTACATCCATACCCCGAGCTCATTTCCAGGCGCGTCCTTCGCCTCTGGCCCCATAAAAAAGCGCTCGTAATAATATTTCCTCCTTTGCAGATTATTAAACCTTAAACCGTGAACGGAGCAAACACAACGAGGCGACCCGGAGCGGCGTGGAGCCACAGCCACAGGATACGAACCCATCAGCAGTTGCTCCGAGTCCGAGTTCCGAGACCATAAAACATGTGGACAGCGGCCTGCCCGAGAGCTCTGAAAGCGATTTGCCTGGTGCCGCTTGGGCTGCTCCTGCTCCTTGGTGAGTATCCTTGTGCTAGCTCTGGCGACACTTGAAAAAAATCACAATGAAAATCTTTATCAAACTCATTTATTATAATTAATTACAAATTGGTTTATAAATATCCATGTGATTTAAGGATATAGGCTTCCTATCTGCATCTTTAATATACATATTTTTTTTCTCAGTGTTGATTGGTGGGCATTAAAGCAATTGCATTCTCTGTTTGTTCACAGATTGTGGCCTGGTCAGCGGCGAGGTGCCGCCGCATTACTGGGAGACCCCCTACTCGCAGCCGTACTTCGACAACTCCTCCCGTCGCGAGGTCACAGCCACCGTGGGCCAGGCGGCCCTGCTGCACTGCCGTGTCCGGAATCTGGGCGATCGAGCGGTAAGTGGGGTCCTAACCTCGAAGAGCCTCGACCCAGAGGGGTTCGCTGCCCGAGGGGAAAGGGCCGAGCAATTAATATGCCAGGGGGCAACATTATATTCGCATAAGGCATAAGGCATAAAAAAACAAACGACCTGCGGCGGTCGTGTGGCAGATTTGTAGATTACTTTTAAAAGATTACGCCATAAAGTTGGTGGTTGGACTGCGTCCCTCCATCTCCTTTCTGCCAACTCCCCCGCTGTTGTCCTTTGTGCCTGGGCTTGCTCTGGTTTGCACATTTGTAACACGGCTTCGCTTCCGCTCCGGGCGATTTGTTAGCAATGCAACAACACACACAGGACACAGGACTCCCCTCCCGTTTTCATTCCCGATCCTGGTCCCATTCCCCTGCACAAGCCCTTGTCCCAGCCCCCAGCCCCCAGCTCCATTGGCATTCCAACCCGACCCTTTGTCCCGCCAGAAAACGCTCTGTGGCTGTGCAATTATGCGGTGTAATAAATTTTACGTTGTCCGTGTCCTGCCCCTGGCTCCCAATCCCCGTCTCTGTCTTCCTCCCCTCCATTTCCCTTCTTGGCCGGAATAGCCGAAAGGCCAGGAAGGCTCGTTCGGGCGACAGGACTTTCAGCAAGCCAACTGAATTGAGTAATTAACGCTCGACGAGAAGGAGCTAAGCTGGGCTGAACTGTGGCCCTAATCCACCATTCCAGGCATTGTCTCCCGTTATATGCAGCTAATTGACGGTGTCTCCCAGCACGTTGCACGCTGTCAGGCAACAGGACTCTACGCTGCACGTTCATGGATTCCCCAATTCGGGATTTATTTTAGTTTTCCAGTCACTCGCCCACTCCGCCCCTTCGTGTGCTAATTGATTGTCGCAATATATGCACGACATGAAAATTTGCTTCTAAATGGAATTTTTTGCATTTTGTGGCTGCCACAAAGAAGCAGGCGAGGCGGCCAAAAGAAAACTTAATCGCCTTTCATGACGAAAACGCCAACGCCAACAAGACCGAGAACGGGTTCAAGTGAAGTGAACTAGTTCAGTGGTGGTGCGGCTGGTGGTGGTGGCTTGTGTGGCTTTGAGTGGTTGGCTTAATGGGAAGCTTGGCTCCCAAAAGGATTTAAGTGCTTCCCTCTAAAATTGCAATAATATTCCTTTATTATATGAATGCATAATTCCATCATTTTGTGCGGGTAGCCCAAATTTTTATGCAAAATACCAAATAATAATAGAGCCACTTTAAAGTTTGATGGTTTCTAAATGCCTTACTTGAAAAGTTCAATTTATAAAAAAATTTTAAGTATTATAAATTGCCATTTAAAGGATTAATGAAAATGTAATCATTTTCTCTTTTTTTAGTTTCAAGGAATCATTAATAAAACTAATAATTTTATCAATAAATCAATCAAAATTGTTTTTCGTGTTTCTAAATATTTTCCTATTCAAATTTATAGCTTCTGTAAAATGGCTTTATTTGCTAATAATTATTTTTAATTAATAAAAGTGCATCAAATACGTTTGTAGACTTATAAAAACCACAACAAAAAACCTTTAAAAAAGTGTGAATGAAGATTACGTTTAAAAAACAACCGTGAATTGATGTAATTACACATTAATTCCAATAAAAATGAATCTATGGGACTTTATTTGTTTTTGTTTCTGTCAATCATTGCATACAAGTAACTTTATAAGCAGTATATAAAAAAATATCATTAATTCAGATGAAAATGTGCTAATTTGTAGAATCCGTTTTTTGTGTTTACACTGGATGGAGCAATCAAATAATGTTTTTCCTTGAACCAATTCCAATTGGAGAAATGCAATTAATTTTAATTGAATACTGAAAATTAGTGAGCGGCTGGTTAATGAGTGAATATTCATTTAAATATAAATCAAGGGGTTTCTTTCTCACCAGCGAGCACGGCTGGTCGGCACTAATCCATAATTAATTGAACCCAAACAAACGGCCAAATTAAGCCGGCCGAGCACAAAGCACGAGTGCTTCATTTCATCCTGGTGGGGATGCCTCCTCCTACGGCGGCAACTATTTTTCCTGCCATCCTGTCGAACACATAGAACTACCCCGGCCTGAGCCTGAGTAGCACTAAGTAACCCAATTGCAGCCATAAATTAGAGTCCAGACAAAGCCGAAACAGGCAATTAATGAATTTCTACATAGTTTCCCCACTGCCCCGCCCACAAATGAGAAAACTTTGGCCAAAAACCATTTAAAGTTGCTCAATTTGCTCGAAACGGCAACGAAGCATCCTTCAGGTGGAAGCACAAAGCGCTGGAAGAGCAGGAAGCAAAAATCCTTTTAAGCCCGGCCAAGAACACGCCTTTGTTTCTCGACAAAAATCCGGCTAATTATAGGAACATAACATAACGAAGAATTTTTGTTATTATTTTGGGGATTAGCAATAGAGTTCGCTCCACTGAATACGAACTACGAAAAACTGAATACAAAGTGAAAAGTTTTTATTTGCCCACTTAAACTTAAACTTCTGGATAAATACGTTATGCGTATATCCCTGAAGAGATTTAAAAAATCCATAAAATGGAAGAATACAATTGCAAAACTTGACACGTGCCAAAGTTTGCCACATTTCCTGACGGAATATGGAAAACTATTGTTTTTTGTGATATCCAAAGTCCCCGAGCTCTTTACGGAATTAGACTTTGTTTCTTTATTGTCAGAAAAGGGCTGGGGGAGAAGTGCAAAATTTATTTTCAGTTCTTAAGTGAAATACACTCAATTATAGTGTCGTGCCAGGTTTGACCTGCATCATATGCAAATTAATGTTTGCATATATTTCCCAGAAGCTGTTTGAGTGAATGGCACGAACACGAAAATGCACAAAGTTCAACTGCTTCAACTCCCCTTTAAAGCACGGAATAATCTTTCATTTTGACAGCTGCATGTTAAAATAGAAGGACCTTAATATAATTACAAGGGTGCAAACTGAAATGCCTTTAAACAATTTCCCGGGAAGGTCCTTTAATATTCAATTCAACAGAAGACGAATAAAAAAGCTTTTAGCTTGTGTTTTTGAGTGCTGTTTTCATATCATTTAATGCCTTTCAACCTACCTCACCTGCAGGTGTCCTGGATCCGGAAGAGGGACCTGCACATCCTCACAGTGGGCATTCTCACCTACACGAACGACCAGCGCTTCCAGTCCCTGCACTCCGAGGGGTCCGACGAGTGGACCCTCCGCATCTCGTCCCCCCAGCCGAGGGACTCGGGCACCTACGAGTGCCAGGTGTCCACCGAGCCAAAGATCAGCCAGGGCTTTCGCCTCAACGTGGTGGGTGAGTATCCTGCTTCTAAGCTTCAGCATTAAGACGGAGTGCTAATTAATTGCCCGTCCGTGTGGCTTCCTAATCCTTTCGACGGCAGTGTCCCGGGCCAAGATCCTGGGCAACGCGGAGCTCTTCATCAAGAGCGGCAGCGACATCAATCTCACCTGCCTGGCGGTGCAGTCGCCGGTGCCGCCGTCGTTCATCTACTGGTACAAGGGCAAGCGGGTAATGAATTACTCGCAGCGCGGTGGCATCAACGTCATCACGGAGCGCTCCACTCGCACCAGCAAGCTGCTCATCGCCAAGGCGACGCCTGCCGACTCGGGCAACTACACATGTTCCCCCAGCAGCTCAGGTAAGCTTCGCCCACAATCGACCATTAATTCCAAAACTCCCTAATTCTACGGCTCACCGGATACGAAGTACAAAGTTTTATTGGATCCGATGCCAAAAATAGATAGACATCTCAAAGTCTAAAGATACTTTACAAACAATCTTCAGGAGGAGAAAATTGAGAACATGTGTAATTATTCATAGGACAAAGTTTTCATTGGAGACATAGCAGTTTATTGATACATTCTATAAATAACTGGGAGAACCGGAAATTATGTTGCAACAACGAAAGGGATTTTCTTTGTTTAATGAGTCCTGAGGACATAAGAGCTCATTAAAAATTATTGATTTTTATTGCCTTTTTTTGGATATTAGTATTTATTATTTTAATATGACTTTTATGAACAAAAACTAGGAATACTTACCATATACTTAATTAGTTTAATTTTAAATGAACATGCTATTCAAAAGTTTCCTCTTGCTATTTAATTATAATCTGATTATTAAATAGGCTTTGCAATTTAATTTCATCTGAAACTTTTTATGAATGTGTTTATCTTTATAAACTAAAATTCTAAACCTAAAACTTTAAAAATATAAGTTTGTATTTAAGTTTAATGTTGGTACTTTATATTTTCGTGTTCTCATTTTTTTCTCAGTGTGCCCTGAGGCAATTAATGTGCTTTTGCTGTTTGCGACCTGCGGCATTTGCAGCGCCATACTCATTTCCTTTTTTTTTGCCCCTTCCGCTCCCTCGTTGCAGACTCCGCCTCGGTGGTGGTGCACGTCATCAACGGTGAGCATCCGGCCGCCATGCAGCACGGCAACAGCAGCGCCAGCTGCCCCCGATGCCTCCCGCCTGCCACGACCGTGCCTTTCGCCAGTGCCACCGCGTTGCAGATTGCCCTGACGGTGGCGGCTGTTGCCTGGAATTTTAATTGGAACGGGGACCGCCTAGACTGGAGCTGCGACTGGAACTGGAGCTGGAGTCGGAGATGGAGCAACGTGCGGCAATGCCTGGATCGAAACTGGAACACGGCCGGGGGCCTGCTGCACGTCTGGAGCTGGAGCTGATGCAACAGTGGGTGCCACCAACGCTGAACGCTGAAGATAAACGCTGAAACGAGACAGTTCCGGCCTAGTTGGGGCTGTCCCGCTCCTCCCCCGCCACCAGGATGCATTTAATGCCAAAGGGGTGTCGCGAGGGGAGGTGAGAAGGAAAGCGGCCACTGAAACGGAGAGCGTCTTACGAACTAGTGTACATATACGGTGTGTCCTTTAAAGAGTATTATCTATAAGAGGCAGTATTAAAAGCAAACTTTTAGCCACGATCCGCAAAACAAAAAACCGCAAAAATGAAAATGAAAATCAGTCAACAGAAAGAGTCCAGGCCAGCACTTTTCATTCGCAGGAGCTGCAGGGATCGTCCTGACCCTGCCAGCAGCTGCCTTTCCCACTTAGTTTTGTTGTCATTGTATTCGAATTGATTTGGGATGGAATTCATTTCATTTGCCACCCAATGGGGATATAATCACCATTTTCGGGCCAAAAGCCACAGTATGGTTTACTGACTCATTTCGGGTTAACAGAAGCAGAAATGTCCGATTGTATATAAATCTAAACACATATATTAGGCCTTCAACTGTTTATTTATTTAGTTTGTATCGTCATAAACCCTAGCACGACAGGATGAGCCGAAAGGGGAGCTAAATATATTTAAAGATATATATGGATGGTTATTCAGTGTATATGGATAAGTTTTTATCTGGTTGTCAGCCGCGAAATTGTTCTACGTAGTCCATCATCTAGTTACTGTGTAAAATATTCATACTTGATAATTGTAAATTTAGAGCTCGGTTTTAAGTGGTCTTGATAAGACTTTTAAGCAGTAAGAACTGGATCGATGAAGGTCATGGTTCAACCGTAAAAAAACGAAAAAAAAAATAGCAAATGAAATTACAGAAATTATTAAACTAAAACCCAAAAAAAAAGATACAGCTAACCTAAGCAGAGTCAAAATATGTTCTGTTTTATTCTGTTTAAGCAAAACTAAACGAACAATGTTTCTCCATAATAAATGAAAATATGGTTATGGTTAAAAAATAAAGCGATGCCTTTAAATGTCTCTTATTTTCATGGTTGGGTGGAATCTGCTGGCATAACTGGAATCAGCGGGGGGCGGGGCAGACTGTGGCAGCTTAACGAGCCACAAAAAAGGGGGGTGGCTGTGGGGCGAAAGTTTTTATCCTATTATGGCAACATTTAATTAACGTCCGATTTGGGTTCCCGTTCGCGTTGTAGATTCGATTCGATCATCTTTATTATGCATACGCCATGTTGGCCCGCAAATCCGACAGCTTCTGGCCACATTCGGTGGCAGGCACACACACTCCTGCACACCCATGACCCATACACTAGCGATACCAAAGTGCCCCCGAAAATGAAAGACTAATTAAGCGGCTTATTTGCGCGTATTAATAGACCGACTTGTGGTCGGCTCAGCATGGGTCCTGTGTATCCTATGAGTCCTGGTTGTCCCGTGTGCGTTTTTGTGCCACTACATGTGTGCATAAGTGTGCGTGTGTGTCTGGGGTCAACAAAAACTAGAGCGGAGCGAGCCGCAGACCATCAACTGGCAACTACCAGAGTGGCTAAACCAACACGTATTTATATTTCGATTTAAAAATAGCAAAAAACGTATAAAAAAAAAGGAGCCACCAACCCACGCAAATAAAGAAGCAGCTATACATACATCCGGATACGCATGGAGAGCTGCAGATATAGATACAAGCTGAATGGACTTATAAATATGTACGACAGCTTACGTGCCGGGGCCAGGGGGATCTAGAACGGTGAACGTTGAACGTCGGACGCTGAAAAAAGGGTGAAAAAGTCAAAGAAAATAAATGGGTTTTTCAGCTTTTATTTACTTGAGAGACTGTTCGGTCCGAAGAAGGTCAGCAGGGGAATGCAGCCAAGGATGATGCGGCACTGGAATCAATGTAAAGGTCACAATTTATTCAATTGCCTTTTGCTAAGATATTTTTATGGCGTGTTCATGTGCTTGCTCCACTGGTCCAGTCCAATCCTAAGTCCTGTGTCCTGCGTCCTGCGTCCCGATTCCCGTCCAAATACCTAATCCCAAATCACAACGGAATTACAAACTGGTAATGGTTATGTGGCGGAAGAAGGACCAGCATCAGGAGCCAGGAGCAAGGGACTGGAGCAGAGACCTTCGGCCCCAGAACCCCCGGCACATAATGGCCAATTGATAGCCAAAAGGCATTAACACGCCAAAGAAATTCCCCAGGCTAAAACAGAGATGTTGCCAAAAAAGCCAGCAAATTTCCAGCTAACACACACTCATGCCTTGCCGCCCTAAAGAGCGAGAGGAAAAATATTAAGTTCAAATGTAGCAGAAATCCAAAATACGTGCCATGACATAGAAAACAGCACGGCCAAAAACTGGCTGACTGGCGGGACTGGGATTGGGAGGGCAGGAGGTGACAGGACGTGCGGGGGCTAGGAGACAACCGAAACCAATCCTCCAACCCGACACGCCCTCCGGCCGGAACGCCTCTTTTTTTTTTTGAGCCACCCCACGAAATGAAACTAACTCCCCTGTTTAGGTGCGGCATGCGTGCGTGAAACGAAAATCACGTCCAATTTCGATGCGTTGCGAGGAGAATTTATTGGGGAAAGGTCACAATATTCATACATCGATATATTTTTAGATCCCACCTGCAACGGCATGCCTTCAAAGTGCACCTGAAACAAAATGTGTGGCTTGTGAAGTGACCTGCTGCATAATTATAAGCTACGTGCGTATAAGATATAATGAGGGTTTGAAGTATAATTTATGGAACCCATTTAATATTTTATTATCTTTCAAATTACATATATTTTATAAATTTGGATTATATGATTGGTACGTAAGGCATACATACCATATTATGAATTTAGAGCATTTTCCCTTAGCTCTCATATCTTTTTTAAAAAGGTATACATTTTTTTTGCAGTGGACATGAGTGAAAAATTTAATATGAAATACTGGCAGCCCGATGGGAAGACTTAGACAAATGGTTGCCCAGCTGTTAAGCGGATGAAAATGACTTACGCACAAAGGGAGCCAGCGGAACTTATTGTAGGTAGATGGTAGAAGGTACTACGTAATGGCACTAACCATACAGCATATAGACAACCCATTTCATACAACGAAAATGGACGCAAAAATTTCTTGCGACAGGCCCCAGCAGGCCCCAGAGCGGATTTCTTACGCTCTCATACGCTCATGGTTCGTTCATCTTACGCTCATTCTCTCATTAAATGTTTTCTGTTTCTCAGTCTCTAAACGGAGCGCGATGAAGAAGGTTGGCCTGCGCTTGGTTGATCTTCGTATGTATGCGTGTCACACATTCACATACATGGGTGTATGTGTGCGTGCGATTTCGTTTCGAAGCCAGCGCACAAAATTTTGATTTTTCTTACTTTTCAGGCTTGCTACCCTAACAAAATTCGGGTATTCGTTATTTGATGAAATGACGAAAGAAATTATATTATTTTTATATTCTATTTTTATTATTTCAGCATACATTTTTAATTTATTTAGGAATAAGATTGAGTGTTAGTAGTAAAATGTTTTCTGTATATATATTTTTACGAATCATTAAAAATCAATATACTGAGAATATGTCAGAGTATATTTCGGTCGGAGTCACTTAAACAAATTCGAGCGGCGACTTTTTAAAGTTCCAAAATATATAAGGAAATTATTAAATTAACGACAATAATTTAATTAAATCTCACAATAACCCAAAATAATAACAAGTGCCTGAAAAATTGTAAACAAAAAAGGTAAACAAGTCCATGAGCTGTTTTCGGTTCTTCACCCTCCCCTAAAAATCATTCCATCGTTAGAGTAGGCATGCACAAGCCTCTTGCAAAACAACAAAAACTTAAAAGCAATCGGCGTTTTAAGTGACTCCGACTGAAATATACTCTGACACTTTCTCAGTATATTGATTTTAATGATTCGTAAAAATATATATACAGAAAATATTTTACTACTAACACTTAATCTTATTCGTAAATAAATTAAAAATGTATGCTGAAATAATAAAAATAGAATATAAAAATAATATAATTTCTTTCGTCATTTCATCAAATAACGAATACCCGAATTTTGTTAGGGTAGCAAGCCTGAAAAGTAAGAAAAATCAAAATTTTGTGCGCTGGCTTCGAAACGAAATCGCACGAACACATACACCCATGTATGTGAATGTGTGACACGCATACATACGAAGATCAACCAAGCGCAGGCCAACCTTCTTCATCGCGCTCCGTTTAGAGACTGAGAAACAGAAAACATTTAATGAGAGAATGAGCGTAAGATGAACGAACCATGAGCGTATGAGAGCGTAAGAAATCCGCTCTGGGGCCTGCTGGGGCCTGTCGCAAGAAATTTTTGCGTCCATTTTCGTTGTATGAAATGGGTTGTCTATATGCTGTATGGTTAGTGGTAATGGCTAGTCGTACAAATCGTACAATTCATCCTTCAGTGCAGGACTTTTAAAAGCGTTAAATATTTTACGATATGTGCAACTTGACTAGCTAGTCAGGTTTTCCCAGCTAGTGCCGAAGTTAATGGCTTAGAAACGTACCAAACGAATGAAGTGCAACAACAGCAAGAAAAGCTAGGGAAAGGGAAAGAGAAACATAAACAGGAAACTGGCAGAAAATGGGAAAATAAATTTATAAAATTTTCATCAACATTTTTGACAGCGGCAATAGCAACAACAAAGAATAACATTTGGAAATGGGAAGAACATCTAGGAGGGAAATTGTTTAAGTGCATGGAAAGTGCTCAAGTGCGATAGGAAGCTGGGTATAGGAGGAGAAAGAAAAGCTGAGAAAAATCTCAGAGAATAAGGAGTCGGGGGTCTGGGGGAAGTGGGAAAAATCAAAGGGAGAAAAGTGCCAACAACAACACGAACTAGGAAAAGCGGCTAATGAAATCTCTCAAGTGCATGGAAATTGCTAATCGGATGCGTGTGTGTTATTGTGTAAGTGTGTCTGTGTGTGTGTTGGTGTGTTCAAGAGAGAGAGTGTCGGAAATGGTGTTGAGGATGGGAAGGACTTGGAATGGGGTGGGGAAAAGTATGCGAAAAGCCAGGCAAGTGAAATTACTCTGGCCAATTGCATGGAAACTACGCACCGGATGCACCCGAAAGTTGCCAGAGTAGTTAGCAAGGGATTAAGCGAATCAGGCGCAATCAGATAATCCCAATCCAATCCTTCGCCCAACGAACCAACCAACCACAGGACCACAACACAGAAATTACAAATGAATTAAGCCAAACTTTTGGCAGGATTATTACTCACTAACCCAGCTACAAGGACACCCATTCTGCCTTCTGCTCTGTGCCATTTTCATGATTTATGATTCATTTCCGCATTTGCATAAATATACATACACATACATACATATATCTTTCCGATCCCGATACCTGTACCTATTCGTATTTATCGAGATTTCCCAAAAGTAAACAAAGGAAGATGGCGGATGCTTCAAGGAAATGCGAGTGTTTGCTTAACTTTGAGGGAAAAAAATGGAGGACAAAGGGGCACAAAATGGCGAACAAAGGGGGGACAAAGGTGTAACTGTGTAACGGCATGGCTAATGGTACCTGAGTAATCCCGCTCAATCTCCATATTGTTTTTGACAGCCCACCAATCGAGTGGAAAATGTCTTGGGCTGGCTGCGGGGCAATGGCAATTGGTTTATCGGATATCTCGATTAAATTTAGCCGATAATTGGGCCACAAAACAGACAGAGAGCCCCTCCTTGGCCGTCGCCTGTCACCCCCCTGCGTGGATAACTTTGTAATGTGCTTAAGCGCACAAGGTGAGATTGCATTAGGAGCTGTCAATGAATTGGCCAACTTGCCTCGCAAGACAAAGGCAACCACAAAATTGCTGAGAGTTTTCAAAGCAAAACAAAGGCCCCAAAGTAGGAGCATCTCTTTGGGGAGCGACATAAGCGGGTTGCAGGGGCAAGCTTAACCAGCATAGCAGTCGAAAGAGCAGGCAAGAGTTAGCAGAGGGGGC